GAAGGAAGGAAGGAAGGAAGGAAGGAAGGAAGGAAGGAAGGAAGGAAGGAAGGAAAGAAAGAAGGAAGGAAAGAAAGAAAGAAAGAAAAAGAAAATATTCTTTGAAAGGGATTAGGACTATATTGAAGAACACTCTGAAACAATGCCTACTTTGTGATCATGGTTAACTGTAAACTTTTTATTTTTTATTTTTGTTTTGTTTTGTTTTTTGTTGTTGTAGTAGTAGTTTGTTTGTTGGGGGTTGTTTTTGGTTTTTTGAGACAGGGTCTCACTATGTAATCCTAACTGTCATGAATAGGCAGGCTTCAAACTCAGAGATCTACCTGCCTCTGCCTCCCAAGTGCTGGGACTAAAGGTGTGCATCACCTTCCTGGCTTGGAGACCTATTACCACAGCATAAAGGTGAACCCACTCACCTGCCCGCTGGGTAAAAGGCTATCAGCAGGTGCATAAGAGTGAAGGAAGTGAGTCCTAAGTTTATGGACAACCTAATTTTTACTAAATTGAAGATGTTTTGCGTTTAACTATCTTCAAAGGGTGCTAAGTAGAATTACCAGGATGTTGTCTTTTGTCTAGGAATTGAAACTGGGTCACAAAGAGCTTATGTGGTACATGGGGCTATCAAAATAAGTATTTATGGCAGAGTATTGATGTCACAGAGACAAAAAGTTTTTCTGCTCTCTGTGGTCTCAGAATGTCCAGCAGTGCTTATAAACCACCTAGGAATGGATGAACAAAAATGCTAAGGCACACTGGAAAAAACATTATCCCTGTATTTATTCTAAGCAACAGTCTCTGCTTAAATTTAAGTTTCTTCTTTTTCGGGGCGGGGGGGTGGATACCAGGGATAAAATCTGGAGATGAGAGGCCTTGTGTATCCTAAGCATGTGCTCTGCCACTGAGCTACACCCAGCCCTAAGTCCCCTCAGTGTTTAGAGAAAATAACACCACTAGCTCCAAGGACACAGGAAGGATTAGAATGTTTGGTTTTTTGGTAGCTTCTCAGCAAATCTCTTTTTCCTTCCTTACACAGAAGAATGGTTAGTCTGGGTGAAAATGTATCCACTTCAGGGCCAAGAACAGAAGGGCATGTCCCTAGCCTAAATGTTCCAGGAAAGAACGCAAGGCCTGTTCATTAGCCATCTGTCCATCAGGAGTCTGTGGGGTTGAATAGTTCATGTGACACAAGTGGGAGGCCTAGTGTGCCTGTGTTTATGTGGCATTTGCACACGATGCTGATAAGAGTACAAAGTGAAGCAGTGTTCACTTACGGGGCAGAGTCCGCAGGGTGCCCGGACCAAGCCTGTAGGAGGAAGGATTGGGTTGACCGCCCTGTACAGTTTCATGTGTCCATCTACACTGCCAACAGTGCCTTCCTTCGCAGCAATGATCGTCATCTCAACTTTCCCGTCATAGATGAGTGTGTTCAAGATGGTTTCAATGTCCTCCATGGACAGCTCTACCTAGAAATGCGTATGTTAGAAAGCATGCAAAAAGGACAAGAATAGCGGGACATCTTGTCACCAAAAGGTCACAGTTGCTCAGGGAAGCAGAGAAGCCATGTTCAAGGGAAGAATAAAGGCATAAGTAGGGTGATTAACAGTCCACATTAGCACTGTTAGGATTTTGGAATCAAACCTGCTTCTGGGTTGCCTAGCAACTTATGATGTCATTATGTGATTACCTTGCCCCTTAAAAGGACATCCCTTTCTTGGTCTTTTCTCTCTTGGTCTCTCCTGCTCCTGGCCTGTTGGCCTTCTCCCCTTTTTCTATCGGGGTGCCCCATCTCTCTTCCCCTCTCTTTCCCTCCCTCTCTCTTTCCCCCCATCATGTCCTGGTCTCCCTGCTCTCCCTTCTCTCTCCCCATCTCCACCTAATAAACCTCTTCATATAAAACCTGTTGTAACCATCATGATTTAATTTGTTCCCATCAAGCACAAACCACTGAAATGCTAAGGACAGAACTCTAACCATGCTGAGCCTCACACTGACTGATAGCATCATCATTCTTAAAACAAAACAAAACAAAACAAAACACCTAAAAATCTTATGACACAACATTTCTTTGTCAACCAAAAACCACATAGAAGAAATCTCCCTCCCTAAGAACTTGATGTCAATTTTTAAAATGTCTTTACACAAAACTTGAGACATGAAATAATTCTAGTTCCTAGTTTTAATTTGTTTTGTTTCTTTTGGTTTTGGCTTTTTGAGAGAGAGTTTCTCTATGTAGCCCTGGCTGTCCTGAACTCTCTTTGTAGACTAGTTTGGCCTTGAACTCACAGAGATCCAACTGCCTTGCCTCCAGTGTGCTTGGACTAAAGGCGTGTGCTACCATGCCTGGCTTAGTTCCTAGATTTCTTTAATCAATGAGAAATCTGAGAACCAGGTAGTGAAAATGACTTGTCCAAATGCCATTTTGGCCTCTTTGCTGATTATGAAAAGCCCCAGTATCCTTATATAAAGCTCTTCAAAGGGATGCTTATGATACCACTTACATTTCATTAAGTAAGAATCAACAAATACACTAATACTGTAACAAACTCAACTGTCAATCAAGTACTAGAACATTTTAATTTTGGGTGAACAGCACTGCCAGGACTGAGCTCAACAACAGTTTAGCCACAGTGAGACCACAATGAGGACCTTGGCCTACTTTAGGACAGTGCTTATCCAAACTGGGTTTGGTAGAATGCGTACCTGAAAGGGGACTCGGTCAAATACACTACAAGCTACAGCCTTGGGAGGAAGATGACACCCCTAAGACAGGGGAAAGACAAGTTCTGACCTTGCTGATGCCCAGCTCACAGATGTACTTCCACACTTCATGTGATGATGCAAATGAGCTGTTTCTTTGTATCATGGGATTCTGTTTACTTTCTCTTGCTGTCTCTGCCTGTAGGATCAGAACAACAGACGCACCAAGGATGCAGGCTAAGTGCTTTCTCAAGCGAATGCATGTTACATGCCGCACCCACAGCAGCATACAATGTTGAGTAAAAATTCCCCATTTTAGGGTTTTTAATTTTATAAAGTACGATATACAAGAGTAACTCTTTCATGAAGCTGCTTTGTAAAAGGCCTGTGATGTTTCCTTAATGACCTCACCTTGGTTTGCAGGAATTTGAAACACTGCTGGTTAAGCACCTCAACAAATTCAGATTCAAAATCCTGGTCACTGTACCAGGCTCCACCAGTCACAGATCGGTCTGGCTGCAGGTTATAGAGCATATAAACCTTCTTTTTGGAGGCCTAGAAAAGAATAAACATAGATCATTTCTTTATAACCTTTTCTATAAACTAAGCTTGAAAACTAAACTTTATATTTTAGTTCAAAGTCCAGAACTACTGCAAAGATAGCAGAGACTTACGGAACTTGGGACTGTCCTCTAAAGTGAGAGCCATCTTTGTGGGCATAGGATGACAGTGCCTCTAACTGGAATCGGAACTATACTGTAGCCAGCACTGCCACGGCCCACTGTGGATAGTAGGAGCCTCACAGAAAGGGAAGAACACTGGTTCAGAGGCGGTGCAGTGCTTAAGCATTTTCCTTTGTCTTTACTTTTACAGACACCATTCACTTCTAGAAGTACTTATATCACACATTCACTTATTTTAATTTAAAGAAAATATGTACTTAATGTGTGGGTATTTGTGTATGTTTGGGCCTATTACCCACAGAGGTGAGAAGAGGGTATCAGATCCCCTAGAACTGGATTGGAGATGACTGTGAGCCACCATGTAAGTGCTGGGAATTGAACCTGGATCACCTGGAAGAGCAGCCAGTCCTAACTGCTGAGCTCTATCCAACCCCTAGTTTCTACTATTACATTCTGAATTCCACTTTGGCACCCAAATAGACACCACTCAATGTCTATTTTTAGATGCAGATGGCTGGGCATGGTGGCATTCACCAGTAAATCTCATGACACAGGTGGTTAAAGGCAGAAAAGATCCTGCATTCAAGACATTCTAGACCAACCCTGATTACATTACCAGACCTCACTCTCAAAAAAATAAAATAGTACAACTAGGATTACTCAGCCAGATCGGGGTATTGAAGCAGGGGCTGAGACTCATAGCCATATTTTGGGCAGAGTGCAGGTAATCTTATGAAAGAAGGGGGAGACAGAAAGATCTGGAGGGGAAAGGAGCTCCAAAAGGAGACCAATAGAGTCAAAAAAAACTGAGCCTTGGGGGACCTGCAGAGACTGATACCTGAACCAAGGACAATGCATGGAGAGGACGTAAAACCCTGCCTCAGATGTAGCCCATAGACTCAAGTCTCCAAGTGGGTTCCCCAGTAAGGGGAGCAGGGGCTGTCTCTGGCATGAACTCAAGTGACAGGCTTTCTGATCACCTCCCCCTAGGGGGTGCAGCCTTGCCAGGCCACAGAGGAAGACAATGAAACCAGTCCTGATGAGACCTGATAAGCTAGAGTCAAATAGAAGGGGAGAAAGACCTCACCTCTCAGTAGACTAGAGGAGGGGCATAGGGGGAGAAAAAGGAGGGAAGGTGGGATTGGGAGGAGACGAGGGAGGGGGACACAGCCAGGATACAAATTGAATAAATTGTAATAAGTGATAATAATAAAAAATTAAAAATAAAAAAAGATTACTCAGCCAGGCATGGTGGTTCACTCAGGAAGGCAGATCTCTGTGAGTTCAAGGCCAGCCTGCTCTACAAAGTGAGACCAGGATAGCCAAGGCCCCACAGAGAAACAGTGTCTCAAAAACAAAACAAAACAAAGCAAAACAAAAGATTACTCTGTACTGTATCTATAGGTTTCAATACATGCTTAATGCTTTTGTTCTATCGAATATTTAGCTGCCCCAAAATATCTCCTATGCTTCATCTATTCTACTTTCCCCATGACAACCCTACTCCCAAGACCAGCAAACATTTATCTTTAACTGTCTCAACAGCTCTGCTTTCCCACAGTGTTACATATTTGGAATCACAGTGTATTGCCTTGTTAGTGTGACTTCTCACAATAAGCAATGAGCATTAAGATCACTATGTCTTCACAATAGGTCATTTTTTTCATCACTGAATATTCCAGAGAGGAAAAAAAGAAAAACACAAATATGGTGTAAGAGAAACAGGACAGGATCTTTCTCTGACTCTGTCATTAATATATTCCAAGGATAGAGTGGTTCCTATCATGTAAGGGGACAATGGGCTAGGACACAGGGACTGTCTTACACAACACAAGCACTAGTACACTCAAGGCTCCACTCTCTTTACTGCAGTAAGAAGTGTGGAATAGGCAAGGCATCAAGAGTTCCGTAGGCAGCAGGTTCAAGTCAGCACAACTTTTTAAAGGTTGTCTTAAATCCCAACATGAACTGAAGAACAAAAGGCTGACAACATGGCCGGAACAGCTTCTTTAGGGGAACATGGGACAGAGCTCAGAGAGCCAAGTACTCACTGCCACAGACTTCACAGCTTTGATAAGCTTCTTACTCTCCAAATTCTTGAGGATTTTGTTGATTTCTGTTAAGGGCAAGTTACTTTTGTATCGAATATCTCTGCTCCATATTCCTGCAAGAAAGTAGGAAAGCTGACAGCACATTTTTTTTTTTTGTCTATTGAATGATTTTTTAATTAATTTTTAATTTTTACATTAATTAAAGGTTATTTACTTTGTATCCCAGCTATAACCCCCTCCCTTATTCCCTCCCAATCCCACCCTCCCTCCCTCATCTCCTCCCTGCCCCTCTCTAAGTCCACTGATAGAGGAGGTCCTCCTCCCTTTCCATCTGACCCTAGTTTATCAGGTCTCATCAGGACTGGCTGCAATGTCGTCCTCTGTGGCCTGGCAAGGCTGCTCCTCCCTTGGGGGGGAGAGGATGGGGGTTAAAGAGCCCACTACTGAGTTCATGTCAGAGACAGTCCCTGTTCCCCTTACTAGGGTACCCACTTGGATACTGAGTTGGCATGGGCTACTTCTAAGTAGGGGTTCTAGGTTATATCCATGCATGGTCCTTGGCTGGAGAATCAGTCTCAGAGAAGACTTCTGTGCCCAGATATATTTGGTCCTGTGGTGCTCCCATCCTCTCCAAGTCTTACTAACTCCCCCTTCTTTCATATGATTCCCTGCACTCTGCCCAAGGTTTGGTTATGAGTCTCAGCATCTGCTTTGATGACAGCACATCCTTTAACACAAAGTTTTATAACTTTTTTCAAAAATTAAGAGTCTGAAGATAAAAAAAAAACAAAAAAAAAAACTTGATGGGTAGAGCATGCCTTTAGTCCCAGCACTTGGCAGGCAGATCTCTATAAGTTCGAGGCCAGTCTGGTCTACAAAGTAAGTTACACAGAGAAACCCTCTCAAGAAACCAAAAAGAAAGAGAGAAAGAAAGAGGGAGAGAGAGAAAGAAAGAGAAAGACAGAAAAAGAGAAAGAGAGAAAGAAAAAGAAAGAGAAAGATAGAAAGAAAGAAAGAAAGAAAGAAAGAAAGAAAGAAAGAAAGAAAGAAAGAAAGAAAGAAAGAAAGAAAAGTACAAGAGCCAGAAACTAAGTATATGCATTATATTCTAACTGGAGTTTCTTTGAATCTTGGTTAAATTTTTTAATTTTTTTTTTTTTTTTTTTTGACAGGGCCCTCACTATGCAGCCCTGGCTGGCCTGGAATATGCTATACCATGCTGGCCTTGAACTCAAAATCCACCTGTGGCTGCTTCTCCTAGTACTAGGATAAAGGGGCCCATCACCATCTAGTGGACATCTTCGACATCTAAAACACATATAACAAGAATATTTTTGTAATGAAAAACATATGAACATGTTGAATTAACCTACACCACACCTCTCCATTCCCCCTCCCCCCAAAAATACTGGGGGGGTGCACATCTTTGATGACAGCACTTGGGAGGCAGAGGCAGGTGGATCTCTGTGAGCTCAAGGTCAGCCTGGTGTACAGAGTGAGTTCCAAGACAGCCAAGGCTGCATAGAGAAACCCTGTCTCAAAAACCAACAAAGTTCCACCACATCTGCCATCCAATCCTTCTAGCTAATCTCTGTTCTCTGATAGTTTCACTTATCACTGTAAAAGTGATAAGGGACTTAAATTTGGATCAGTGTCATTTGCCATCTTCAACCAAGAAGAAAAAAATATGAATGTTTAACTGCTTTGATGCATGTACATGCATTATTTAAACAACATTCTATTTGTAAGACACACATAAAAATAATAAGGCGGTGGTTCCCACACTCATTGTGGAAAGTCATGAGCTTTCTTTCAGAGGAAGAAGTCTGTGCATGAAAGAAGGGTATGCGCACAGCACACACACAGCTGCGCGTGATGGGGCACGCCTGCAGCCCCAGCATCAGGAAGACGAGGCAAGAAGGTGGTGAGTGCGAAAGCCTGACCTGCATGCTGGGATCCGCTCTTACGAACTAAAGCAAGCAGACAACAAAACGCTTTAGGTGTAGCCCTAAAGGCAGCACATCACCCGTCCCATGCTCACCTTTATTCCCTGCATCCTCTATGATTTGGTAGACTAGTTTTTCCTGATTATCCGACCCCTTCATTTTACTGCAGGGAACAAAGCAGAATTAAAAAGGAAACTTATAGGCTGTGTTAACATCTGTATGACTACGTAAGTTAATCAGCAGACAAGGCTACACACTGACTTATTTAGCAAAAGAAGGGCTTACCTTAAAAAGAATGAGACAGAGCTGTGTGTATCAATATGAAAAGATGTCCAAGGTACAATAAGTGAAAAAAACAAGTTACAGAACAGTATGGATAGCATGATCCAGTTTTTTGTCAAAAAAGAAAAAAAAGAAAAAGAAAGAAAGAAAAGAGATATAAATACAGAATCATCTATGGATATTTACATCTGTCTAGAAGAAATTACCAAGAACAGTTACCCTGGGAAATGGACATATGGACAGAAAGCAGGGATGGTACAAGTTTACATCAGTTCCTTTTGTTTTCTCATTTTGAGGTAGGGTCTTTCAATGTACAGTCGAAATTGTCCTCCACATCATCAGCCTGCCCCAGGGCCCCACACGTCAGGGTTATAGGAGCACACTGGCACACATAGCTACATTTCGTGCATACAGTTTCACATAGCTCAGGCTGGCCCTGAACCTGCTGTGTAGTCAAGGATGGCACTGAACTTCCTGTCGCACTTCCCAAGTGCGGGAGATGCATGTGTACCACAGCACCTGTTACTGTGTTAGTTGCTTTTTTCCCAAATACATACATTACTTTTGCAATAATCAAGTCTTTTAAACGTAAAAGATAAGTACTTACTTACCCAGCATTCTGAGAATCCTTTATTCTATATAAAAGGCCTGTATTACTCCTTAAAAGATCCAACTGACCCTAAAGTGTTTTAAAATAGAAAATCATAGTCAATTACTCTGGATATACATCAATTCCAGTGGCAACTGTTAATACAGTTTTGTTTGTTTGTTAGTTAGGTTTGGTTTTTCAAGTCAGGGTTTCTCTGTGTGTGAGCCACCGCACCTGGCTACTCATATAGTTTTAAATGTATTTACTGAACACACTAAACGATCCTGCCTCCCACACTTGTCAGTTCTTCTTCTGAGACTGAGGAGTTTGCCTACACATCACAAACAAGTATTTTAAAAACTTAATTATCTAAAGACGTTGTATACTTGAGATACTAGCAGTGCCCCACATGTGACCTTGGCCTGGTTATTTGGCTAGGGCATAAACCAATTTTTAAAAAAATCATTTTATTTCTTAGCACAGTCCTTTAATCCTAGCGCTCAGGAGGCAGGGGCCAGTGGATCTCAGAGTTCAAAGCTAGACTGGTCTACAGAATGAGTTCCAGGACAGCCAGCACTACACAGAGAAAGTCTTGTCTCTTGGAAAAAAACTTTCTTCTGCCAGCATTTATGTCTATGCAACATGTGCCTACAGTGCTCATGGAAGCCAGAAGAGGGCATTGGATCCCTGGAAGAGACATTACAGCCAGGTGAGAACCATCATGTATGGGGGAATGAAAATCAAACTCAGGTCTTCTGTAAGAAAGACAAATGCTCTTCATCTTGGGGGTTGAAGAGATGGCTCAGCAGTTAAGAGCACTAGCCATTCTTGCAGAGGACTGGGGTTCAGTTCTCAGTACATACATGCAGCTTACAACAGCCTATAACTTCAGTTCCAGGGGTCAATGCCCTCAGCTGGCCTTTGTGGGTACCGGGCATGCAAGCAGTGCACAGACAATGAATGCATGTAAGCAAAACACACATACATTAATTAAAAATAAATCTTTGTAAGTTGTTTTAGGATAACATATAAAAATCCATGTTGAAATTCAAGTAAGTCCAAATTATATAAAATATGGATAAATATAATTAAAATACAACCTGTATTAATAAAAATTTTATCCAGATAAAGTATAAACATGAATATTCATCAGCACACTAAGTTAGGCCATAGAGTTATTAGTAAATATATACATTTAAATTATGATAGAAGAATTAGGCAGAATGGTCAACCAATGAGCAAAAAGTCCCTACAATGGTATTTTATATAATGAAGCAAATAAGCTAAAACATGTTCTACCATGCCTTTGAACCTCCTTGAGCATAGGCATTTAGACAATACAGATGTGCATACCACTGAACTTGCAGTAGTTACAGGAAACTATAACCAAGAGGGGGCCCTATTGTGTGTTAAGACTGTAAAATAGGTTTACTACTGGACAAACTCCAACACCTCCCTTCTTCCCTAATTCACCAAAGTGGGATCACAAAACTCAGTTCAGAGGTTCGCTTCTGTTACTTGTTCAGCCTATTCCAGTCACTTACTAAACACCTGTACTGTACCACTGTTAGGACAGTGTTTAAGTGCACAATCTGTTGTAATTACAGGATTACAGGATTGAACACATCATGCAGGCTAGGTGACTGTTCTACCACTGAGAGACACTCCAAGCCCCAAACAACTTCTAAAAGAGAAGCACACAGATAACTTCAAGACTATCTGGTTGGCATTACGACAGAAACAAGAGAAAAGGCTGTGGCCCTATCTGAGGGCTCCAGGTATCTTCTTGGAGACAGCAGCAGAGCTAAGTCCTAAAGGATAACAAGGAGTCATCCTACACTGAAAATGGAAGCCCAGAAATCACCAACACTTTTTCCTTTGGGTGAAAATAGAAGTAACTGGTCCACTGCCTGATTTTTGTTTTTTGAATTAAAGAAGTTTCATTAGAAAAAAAGCTACAATCACCTGTTTATGTATCACTGTTAATGGCTCACAATTGCTACTTGTTAAGATGACAATACAGTTGTAACAGAAATCAGATGGGCCACAATAGATATTTTATTTACCACTTCATAGAAAAGTTTGCCAAATTCTGAGCCACAAAACTGAAGACAAAGGCTTAACAAAAGGTTCACCTATCCCTATAATCTCTGCATCTAGAGCATTTACCTATAACATGAGGCTGAAAAATTTCAAAAGCAAACAAGTCAGCCTGGCATGGTGGTGCACACCTGTAATCCCAGCACTCAGGGAGGCAGAGACAGGCAGATCTCTGTGAGTTTGAAGCCAACCTGGTCTACAAAGTGAGTCCAAGACAGCCAAGGCTATACAGAGAAACCCTGTCTTGAAAAAACAAAACAAACAAACAAATGTAAACAAGTCATTCAAGAGGCCTAGTGTAGGACTCTTTTAACTAACTGCTAATAAAACCAAACTGAAACGCCCTCAGTAAAAGGCAATATGGCTTGTGAAAGAAGAGAGACATAAGCAGATTTAAAGCATGGAAGAGTACTTGGTAGGCATTTTTCAAAAACTGGAAGAGAGGCATTAGGGCTCCAGGGTCTTGGGCTTCACTGAAAACTCCACTGCACTGTCTCTGAAGCTGAGGTTGTACTTCTTCCCAAAGATCCTCACTGGGACTTCTTCATGCTCCTGAAAAGCTCAGAGTGACATTGTGCTACCATCAATAGGCTACTGATAGCTCACAGGAAATCACAGTGGCAATTCTTTATATGGAATGGCTAAGTACTAGCAGCAGGAAGCAAAACAAGGTGAAAACAGACTACACCCATGTGTCCTTTTGTGTCATTTAAGCTAATAATAGTCAGTTATAACAGAATTGCATGCAGTTTCATCTTCTTGCCAAATGGCACATAATTATTTTTTCTTCCAATTCCAACATTCCAATCCTTCCCCTGGTCTGGAATCAAGCCATGATTTTGGCTTTACAGTTAGTGTCCTGGTTCACTGAAAAAGAGGATGATCACCCTATTATTAGTTCATGTGATTATGTTGGGTAATAATCCTTGTAATCTATCTCCTGCAAGCCAGAGACTCAAGAAGGCCAGTGGCCTAGGTCAATGGTATGGTTCTGATGCATTAGCCTTACAAATGGAATCTGAAAGCCGAAGGACAAAGAGTGGTGAAGGGAAAAGATTGGCACTGAAACTCAAGAAAGGCCTGGAGTAAGTTCCTCTGTCCTCCACCCATTTGTTCTACGTAGGCTCATACTAGATTGGATGGTGACCACTCACCTTCTATACTGAGTTCAGCGATGCAAATACTCCCGTACTGTAGAACATCCCAAAACAACATAGGGACAGATATCTAGGACTCTCATCATCAGCCAACTTGACACATACACACATTTCCGTGACAGGCAGCCATGAAAACCATAATATACAACAAGGCACATATATCAGCTGAATTCACCTCACCATGGACAACAGTCTATTGATGGCCACTGCCCGCTGTTGGGCTTCTATGTGAGGCATTTCATTTTGAATTACTTGATCCGTGATTCCATGAGGGAACTGGTGGCATAATTCTATAATTCTGGAAACAAAGATAGTAATGATTTATGTTTTTTTTGTTTCAAAAGGCAAATAAGAGTTAGATTAAAGCTGAAATCTCAATGTTATCAGAGGGAATAAGTACAACAAAGTGAAGCTATAGGCCTGTCGGTGGAAGGCAAATATGGAGGGGGGGGGGGGGTTATGGTGACTCACCATAACTGGAGTGTTTCCGAAG